AGTTTAACTTGCAGTATCATCCCCCTGTAACTGATAGTTGTAAGAATTGTGATATTTTTAATATAGAATGTATATTTTGTGTACTATCATGCATTAAAATGGTTTTTTAATTATATAAATATCTAAAAAAAACCAGTGAAGTTGATGTTAATTTTTCATTAAATAGAAAGACGAAACGAATCTTTTGGTTTTTGTTTCAAGATGATTATAATGAATATTGAGTGTTTTATTAAGATTTTAAATTTGTAAATGTATATTCTGGGTGTTTATGTAAATTAAAAACTCTGGATAACACATAGTGAACTTGATGTTAATTATTTTTTAAATAAAAGGAAAAGACATATCTTTTGATATTGGTTTTAAGGTGATCCGATGAATAATGAGTATTTTATTAACAAAATTTCTAAAAATATTTACTTTACAATAATAATAGCTTGTATAAAAATTAAAAATCGTAAAACTTTTGACAAGAAAAGCTTTATACAATTTTAGCATAAGAATAATAGATAAACAACTAAGTCCGTCCGCTCGTCATAGTATAGCGCTGCGCGCTATAATTATGTATTTATAGTAAAATTGGTTATATTTTTAATTTTGTGTTATTATTCTGTAAATATTGTTAAAATATATAATTTATAATTATCTACTTCATTTGTTTTTTTAACATAATATTGATTTACCCTTTTATATTTTTATATTCATTCTTTGCTGAAGATATTGTCTGCAGTACTTACATTAATCTTTTATAAATACTGAATAGTAAACATTTTTATTAACTACATTTTGTTTGCGAAGAATGTAGGATAAACAAAGTAACATGGTTTTAAATATCATTAAATGTATTATTTTGTTTTTAAAAATATGACTGAAAAATAAAATAAAACAAAAAAAAAAAAAATTATTATAGATACACGATAAATATTTACAAATTTTGAAATACACCTAAATTTAAAATGCATTAGGACAATTTAAATTTAAACATTTTGGCTGTTTTGCACATAGATTAAATCTTATTATTTAATCTGCACCAAAAAAATTTGATCTCATTGATAAAGTCAAAAACATTCATAAAGGTACAAATGCAAATAATTAATTAAATGCATATCAAAAAAATATGGTAGTCAATGTTTCCTTAAATGTTTAATTTTCTTCATACTCTTTGTATAATAAGTATTGAGGTACAGTACTTCCTTCACATAATGGCATTTTTTTTTCTGTTTATTTTAAATCGTAGTGAATATCGACAATAAACGCAAACAGTGTTCATACAATAATTTATTATATACAATATAAATTAAACATCGCCGTCTGCAATTTAAGTCACATTCAAATTCATCACAAGTTTCATAACGTTCTATGCGTACGCTGTGTAAGGTTAGTACGCACCGCAATGCATTTGCTGGACTCGCCGGAATTACGTGGAACACAGCATTGTGTATTTACTTTATTTAACTTTTATAAAGTAAAACTAAGTTTTATTTCATTAAGCAATAATATATTGTCAAAGTATAATGGTCAGTTATACTTTGTCCACTATAATTCATAAACTAAAAAAAACGACGCACATAGTCCTTGTCCGTCATTTTTTTTTGTTTTTGTAAGATAGTTCCGTCATGCTTCTCAAATATTTTTATATTCGTGTTGCAAGTTCAGAGCAAGCGTGCACTGCATTCTTACGAGAACACCCACTTTTAAAAGATGTGAATAATATGCTTCAGTCACATTTGGATCAGTATTGCTGGAAGATGTGGTGGAAAAGTCAACCAGATTTGTTCATTGCATTTTTAGAAGACACGCGGGCAACATACATAATTAACGACAAATAAATTGTCTAAAACAAAACTTACCTATTTTATATGGATAATTTTTATATTTTAAATTTTATATTTCCAAAAACAAGCTAATAGATCGCACGCTACACTAGCACCTAATATTTTATTGGGTAACTGATATTACATATTTTGTTTTTCAGACTATATTGAAGGTTATAATCATTGTTGGGAAATACCAAGATAAATTATCTAGATAAAATTGATTTATCTTTAATCTAAACTAGATAATTCTTAACTTGTTTATATTTATTTTCATCTAGATAAAATTCTATTATCTATGAATACCCATCTAGATAATTTATTTATATGGACTAAAAAAAAAAAAAATATTAAAATTAAAAATATTATTTTATTTTTCTATATACTGTATAGCTACTATACTTATTACACGGAAAACAAATGTTTGGGAAAATTTGTTACCATACAAAGTATTATGTATTTCAAAATTGAATATTCATTATAAATTTGGAGTTTATCTGTTTATACTATAAATAATGAAAAGATCCAAAAATATAAAATATTTTGTAATGTAATAAATACTAATATTATGTAGTAACTAGTAAGAGCAACTAATAGCAAAAGCAAAAACATCTATCCTCAGTATGGCGGTACCCGCCATTGTATGACGACAGTTTTCAATAGTGATATCCGTTTTATACAATTGTGTATAGTATTTATTATTGTATTGAACCGACAAAAATAAACCATTATTTTTGAATTTACAAATATAATATATTTAATTTTATACAATATATAAACATTTTAAGCCAACACAATGATAATAAGTTAACAACTAACAATTTTATTTTTATAATACCATAACATATTAGAAATTATTAATATTAATAATATAATACTATTTACTCTTTTTTTAATTCACTGTTCTCAAAAATTACGCATATTTATAAGTAATATCTTTTTTGTCATATTTATTTTATTTGTACAATCTGTATAAAATATTTTTACAATAAGCATAATAGATGAAAGGATATATTATAATAGGTCAGGTTGGTTTGAGTGAAGAAGCTATTCAGTAATAGCACTTCATATTTTTAAAATATAACACTACAATACCGTCTTCAACATCGGTTGAAACACTATTCAGTAAGGCAATTCAAGTGTCAATACCTAGGCGTTACAGGTCAGGTGATAAAATTTTTAACATGATTTTATATTTTAGATCAAATATGGTTTGAACTATTATTTTTTTTTTCAAATGTAAATTTTATAGTTTTATTAACTTAGAGATTGACTTTTCATGTGTTCTAATGAGTAAACTATTTTATTTTATGTTTATATTTTAAAATGTTTTAAACGATATATTTTTTTACCCAATATCTGTACCTATATCACTGAATATTTGCACAATTAATGAAATTATCTGATAGTTATCTAGATAAAAATTAGTACAGTCATTTTAATTTAGATAAATTATTAATTATCTATTCCCAACACTAGTTATAATAATGTGTTGATATAATTAAGATTATTTAATTATTATTAAGTAATATGGTAACAAAAGTAGATACAGTTTGTATTATATTAAGTAAAAAAATAAAATAAAAAATATTAAATGAAAGTCGAATTATCTACCGAGCGACTTTTTTTTAAGTGTATTTAAAAGTTTTATGGTTATAGGGCTTGTCATTATTACGTCCTTCCTTAGCAAATATTGAAATGACGCTCTTGACTTGTGTAATTAAAATAAGTATATAAAAGTGAGCAGGCAGGTTATTCCAGTGATTGTACCAAAGGCTGATAATATGACGACGTAATAGAGGGGAAAAATCGGTTCAAGGCAACTGCGCAAGAGGAGGAAGGGTTGTATTGGAGGCAGCTTTGGCGAGCCTATCAGCTATATCATTATCATGTATGCCAATATGGCTAAGGATCCATATAAGTTCAATAAAGTGATTGGACTGCTTGAGATCATATAAATATATATGTATATATATATATGATTTAATTTGAAAAACTAGAGGGGATAATTTAGAATTAAATAGATTTGATATAAGGGATTGTAAGCAGGACATAGAGTCAGAAGCGATTAAATAATTATTCGGGGCTAAATTTGAAATAAATAGAAGAGCTTCGAGAATAGCATAACATTTAGCGGTGAAGGAAGAGCATGAGGGAGGTAGGTTGTTGGAGAAAGAAACGAGAAGTTCAGGTGTGTAGAACGAATAGTCGGCTGATAAGGAAGATATTGAGCCGCTAGTATAGATGATAGTGAAGTTTGGATAATTAAGGTTGAGGTAATTTTAAAACAGTTTATTAACAAAAGAAATAAACAGATTTTAGCTCAATGTAAGGAGAATCAGAGAAGTTATCAATTTGAACTAAGGGGGTAAAAAGGAGAGAATCATAGCGTTGCTCATAGAGTGGAAGTTTATTTGATTTTATAACATATTGGTAAACATTGGAAAGAGAATAGGCTGCAGTTGATAGGACGGGTATAGATCTAGACGTATAACGCCAGGTGATAAAGAGAGAATAGAAGATATCGAATATATTATGGTTGGAATGAGCTAAAGATTTTAAAATGAATTCTCCGGCACATCCGGCACCTGATATTAAAAGAAGGACAAGTGGTCTCAACTTCAATCGCCGGACCAGGGGTCGATCTTACATATTTCATTATGGTTCTGAGACAAGACGTTTGAAGTATATTTATTTTTTTCCAGTTGGAGTAGGTGGCCGAACCAAACAGAAGGCAATCATAGTCCAATTTAGAACGTATAATTGAGCGATAAATGTATAACAGACTAGAAGGATGAGATCCAATTATTATCGGTATGTACGCGGTCAATATAACTGAAGGTCGGGTGCGACGTATTTAAAATCGGCGTATTGTCAATAATTTGCTGAAGTCCGGGGGACGTAGGTGTAAGTAAAATAGAATTTGACTTGCGTGAATTTTTTTTTATTGGTGACGAGGGTGGAATTGAAATCCGAAGCACGATTGGTAGACAAAGAAAGTTTTATTTTTTTAGGAGCAGGTGATTTACCTGCCCGTAAGTCGCCGCCCGAAGACGACGACATGTTTACGTAATAAGACCGTGCTAACGATTAAATACGACAACAATAGCTGCGATAAGAGTAAACAGTAAACGGAAAGCACAATCGAACACTGTGACAACTGAAACGCAAATAGTGATAATTCACACGTTATTGTTGGCGACTAAAATTTATTGGTCCCCGATTCAGCCAGTACGACCAATCGCAACCGTTATTCATGGCGTATTTGTAGCACTTCATATGCTTGTTTATACCCGCCTGATAGGTTGTATGAAAGTCCCACTTGCACCCGTTCTGATGCAAGTATTTTAGACATGTTAGGTGGCCGTTCATAGCGGCGGCGGCGCACGCCCACTCGTCTTGCGGGCATCCATTCCGAAGCATGTACTTCAGACATTTGAGTTGACCGCCCGCCGCGGCGGCGGTGAACGACCTCGTGCCCCACGGGCACCCATTCCGGTGTGCGTATTTCAAAATTCTGAGATGGCCACCAAACGCGGCGTAGGTGCAGGTGTAGGCGTCCCACGGACATCCGTTTCGGCGGGCATAAACGAGGCACGCGTAGCTCCCCACCCGGGCGGCGAGAGCGCACGTCGACTCGTCCCACGGACTGCCGTGTTCTCGCGCGTAGACCAGGCACTCTATTTGGTTGTGGTAAGCGGCCGTCGCGGTCGTATGGGTGTACCACCCGAAGTTCAACTGCCGTAAGTACTTTAACACGCGGACGTTCCCGGAACGGACAGCCACCGAGCATAAGTCTCTCGGGAAATCAAATTTATTTTTCCACAAGTAATCGAGCGTGAACAGTTGGCCGGCGGCGGCCGAGGCCAGCGCTAGCTTGATGCCGGGCATGGGACAGTCGTTCTCGTGCGCGTACTGCAAACACTCTACGTTGCCGCCCCGACAGGCCGCTATGGAGGTGCGCTCGTTCCACTGTATGCCCATGACGTGCGCCCGCCGCAAGCAATCGGCGTGTCCGTTCCGGGCGGCCAACGAGCACAAGTTCGTTTTCTCCATTTTCTTTGGCCTATAGTTGGACGAAAGCAAATATTTACAGCAGTCCTGCAAATCGACACGAGTCACGTAGCCCGGTATTGTGTCATACCGCTGCCGGTCTTTGGGGCTGCATTTGTGGTACGCCAGCTTCGTAAGACTGAACATTATCACGGACGCAGCTGTTGGCGGATGGGGAGGATGGGAGCGCTCCGCTAATAAACTGTCGGCTGCACTCGTCACGGCTTTACCGCACCGAACCAGCTGTTTGCTTGGAGAGACGTCGATTTTGGGCATACGCCGGCGAACGACCGCCGTGTACAGTCACTGCCACTGAAAAAATACGTTTTTAATATCAAAATTTTCAGAAAAATCATATAACAGATAATAGATTTCCCTTTCAACTTGATATAATCAGTTAACAATAAACTGATAGTTAATAGATACCGGTCTATGGCGCAAAGAACATTCATTTTTCATTACCTACGTTTGATTGTTATTTATATTACTATTTATTCTAAGTCTTTCAGGTAGTACAATATTATATGATTTATTTTAAATAATAATAAAATAATGAATAACTCTAAAAGTAAAAAGTTATTGTTATCATTAATAAAATATTCTGAATATACTGTTAATTTTACTAGTAAAGTGGATTGTCACAAAATAAATTATATTAGTTGGGATAATATTGTACCTGTGTCTAAAGAAGTACAAAATGTTCAAATACAATAAAATATGTTAAAATAATATGTCTCTGGTAATCAAATGGAGTGTACCAATATGAAAATTGTATTAAAGAACTTAATAGTATTAATTTAATAATGACAATCAAAATATAAATCAACAAAATAACTTTATATGTATTAATCAAATTGATTCATTTATTTTTATTAATCAAAAAGAATTAAATAATGAAATTGACTATGAACATATCAACTAAAAAGAGTATACAAGTAACCAAGAGAATGATGACAGTAATCATATCAAATAAGTTGTATCTTAGGAAGAAAATAATAATTGTGACAATGAACATGCTCATCTTAAAAACATAATAATATTCAATGATCAAAATACTGCAGACATATTTGGGAAAAGAAAAATTAATAAACAAAGTCACATTATAAATAAAGATAATTACAAAAATAGTAACAGTTATAAAAAAAAAAATAGAAGTATGAAATTTTTGCCACCAAGAAAATGAAAGATAATCCTTGTTTTTAAAAATTGTGTACAAATGACTGTGTTGAAATAAATGATGATAAAAGATTAAAAATTTAATAGATACTGGAAAGAACTAGGTCATGGTAGATGGCAAGATTACTTGTAAAGTTGTATGGAAATTATATTACCAAAAAGATCTTGTGTAAGTATTAGTAATGGTATTTGTAATTATAAATATTTTATGTCTGTGAACAACATAAAGAAAACTGTTAGCAGAAGATTTCTGTTAAATATTTTAGATATAACTGAAAAGTTCTTAGGTATATTTGTGATGATTAAGTTGATTTGTATACCTCTACATCTAATAGCACAAGTAATATAGGTAATAAAACTCAAAAAAATAAAACACCATTTTATAACAAAATGATACATCTTTAAAGGTTAATTAATACTTTACCACCTGTTCTGTCACATTGCAGAAGTTCCAGTAGTAAAAAATATATCAGTCATAATTTTAACAATTTAAATGTCTATAGGTTTTATGTCAAGCATTGTAATATGGCAAATATCTTTAGTTTCTAATGCAGTTTTCAAAAATAAGTAGAATACAGAATATAATATTAATATGTGTCTCAAAGAAGAACAAATGTGCATTTTGTGAAGGTCACAAAAATAAAAACATTAAAACAGAAGAAGATACACTACACTCAACATTTAAAAGAGGAAATATCTACCACTTATATAAGATAAGGAAAAGAGTGGCCAAAGTAGGTTCTGTGCTGTAGTTTTAACTTACAAAAAGTGTTTAACACACCATGTGGAAGTAGTATGTTATTGTTCTATTCTAGAAAGCTAGCATATTATAATTTGAGTATCTGTGAAAGTAAAACTAAAAATGACTATTGTTATCTATGTTCAGAAATAGATGGTCAAAGAGAATCAAATGAAATCAGTTCAATTATATTCAAATATTCAAAAAGTATTATTATAAACTGAAATGTTCATGAAATTGCATTTTACTGTGACAAATGCCCTGGCCAAAATAAATATCACAATATGTTATCTATACTACCTATGTTATTGTCTTTTAAAATATTAAAATTATTACATTTAACTATTTACTGGCTGGTCTAAAGATCCCAGATTTATATATTTTTATTAGAAGACATTTTAAATCATACCTATACTTGTAAGTTTTAATTTATATTGGTGTTAATTTTAGGAAGGGGTGAGAAGAATTATATAAGAAATTAAAATATTACAAAATTAAATATGTGATGTTTGTTATACAAATTTTTTGTAAATGTTTGGTAGTTAAAATTACAGATTTTGGCCTTAATGTAACATTTTATTTTCCTCACAGTTACTTAATATACTATAAAATAAAGTTAAATATAATCATAATCAAATAATAATAACTAATTATCATTTATTTATACCACTATTATTATATGTTCTTAGAAAGGCTTTTATAAAATTCTAATTTTTGAAAGGTCTACACCGCATATATTTCTTTTAAATTAATGTAACATTAAATATAAATTTACTTTCAGCAATATAATAAACAAACTTAATTCCAAGAAGTCTCATCTTTAATATAATTTATAAATGAATGTTCTATCTTTAAAATTGAATTTTTAATCATTTCTATTTTTTTCCTGAAAAATTTGGTTTACCCCTTTTAATAAAATAATGTCGATTTGTATCTAATTAGTAACAATGTGTATAATTTATTTAATATATAAAATACCTAGGAATTCTATAAAATACTTGGTGATTTCTAAAGAAGTGTATAATATAATTTTTTTTTACATATATTTTCTAAGTATTTTATATAAGAACTAAGCATTTCATAAAAACGACAAACAACAAATTGGCAATTATTGGTAGAATAGGAAAATCACTTAAAAAAATAAAAAATAAATCAATTTCCCTGTATTATAATAATAAAGGCAATTAATTTTGTTAGCATACAAAAAAATATTTATCATAAAGTATCAATTTAATATTACAGAATATAATGTATGAAAATGAAACAAAAAAAATTAATTTATAAATTGTATAGGTAGTACACATTTGTTAATTATAATTTTTTATAAATTATATTATAATTAATTACAAAAATAATATATTTTATATGTTTAAATTAATAAAAAGTAGTTAAATTTATTTATGACAACACTGTAAATTAGGAAGACGCTTTGAATAGCACTGAATTTTATTTTTTAAATACTCACATCGATTATTTTGATATCTTGTTGAACATGAATATTTAATAAAGCCTCGTCCAAATTTAGTTACTGCTTATGATGGATTTATATTAGGTGAAGGTACATTGTCAAATATCAATACTGATAACATGAATTTAATACATTAACTATACATTGTTTGGCGTTTCATAAAATGTTTAGATAATTTAAACAGTTGAAACAATTGCAGACGCTTTACCTACTTCGCAACACTATTGCGAACGATCACTTCATGTCTTAACATTAAACATATTATTTTGTACCCAAAAATGTACACGATTCCGAACGAAATTGATGAAACTTTGTCAAGTTGTGCGACGCAGTTTACCGAACTCAACAATAATTATCAATTTAATGATAGGCTAATATCATTCGGATATCTAGTGATTATATTTATAATTTAAACTTTATTTTTACCTATAAAGTTGTGTTCGATTTTTTTTGTACAAAGTTCTTGGCATATGCTCATCGGAAAATTCACAGATGGATTTTTGTCTGTTGCTCTTATGTCGTTATTCGTTAAAATACATGCATTGCAATCTTTATTCGTACATAACCATTTTATAATCTCATCTTTTCGCTGTCGCCTAAATCGGTATTTACTTGTTTTGTGTAGAATTTGACACTATAGTAGCAATAGGTATTTAACAGAAATTACTTGTAACATACTATATTTGACATACTTAAAATTCCTACATTATTGAAGATTTATTTGTAAATTTGGCAATATACATTCGCAATCGTGTCATTTTCAGGATCCATTGATAAACTATAATCATCCGCAATCGTCTTTTTAAAAAGGTCGCCCTGATAAGAACCGCTCGCATTTCACAATCGTGTATCACCGATTTAAACAATTTTATAGATTGCCGGCTGTAGTTGGTATTATATAGAGTTACTAGACATTTTATAAAATACCAATATTATTCACATTGCCGCTAACTAATCGATTGTTTTTAAGTAAGGCTTATTATACCATTTTCTTTACACAGTATTTCTGATATCATATTTAAAGTTAACTCTAAATTTGTTAGTAGGTATAAATATTTCGCAATAGCCGCGCGAATACTACGTATTCATTTATAATGCAACATTAGATTGAACAACAAATGATTGAAATTATTAATTTAAAATTTACCCAGGAAATTTTGAATACGATAAAAAGCATTGCCTGCAATGTATTAAAAATAAATGCTGACGACAACGATATCACCATTTTAACTAAAGCCTTTGGTTTGGAAACTGAAATGTTAAAAAGTGAAATAAGTCAACTTCAACATACAGACAATGTACCCAAAAGTAACAAAGAATTGTGACATATGGATAAAATGGTTAACAGAGTTTGGCAGTGGAAGAGAAACAATATTCAATAATATATTTAAAATGCTAAAAATATTTGTTAATATTTCTGTGACTAGTTATTCTTTTAAAAGGGCATTTTTAAAATTAAGTTTAATTAAAACAAAATTACGAAGTATAATGCATCAGGATCGACTTGATAGATTACTCACCATGTCAATCGAACAAAAATTGGTTTATAATATTAACGTTGATGAATTGATAGAACAATTTAAAACATTAACCGGCCCTTCCGAGAGAAGAATGGTACTCTGAATTTGTTTTTTTATAATTTATATTTGTAAATTGATATAACATAAATAAACTTTGAAGTTTTAAGTATTATATTAAATTTGTAGTTAAATTAATGATATTTAAAATTAAAATACTTCCATCACTAATTTTGATTGAACTAAC